GTCTGCTCCTTCCACCTCAGTGCCTGTCAGCATGTGACTGTTTACATGCAGCACGGGTCTGGAAATCCATGCTGGTGCCTTAGCCTTATTCCTCAACTGGAGGGACCCTTCAAGGGTCACAAAGGTGACTCTAAAGAGTAGCAGTTTACAGAGGTTGTATAGCTCAAGTTAAACAAAAAGTCTGTTGAGCTGTTTGGGAGTCTTTGGGGCACAGGGGAAGCTCTCATGGGAGATGGGCTCGTCAGAAAATTCAATCCTACGGAATGTAGTTCCATAACATCTCAGCGCCTGGGTTCTGTGCATCTGTCTTGGTTCTTGCTCATTATTTCCTCCTCTTAAAACACCCTCTGCTCCCTTCCTCATGCTCCAACTTTGAACTGCGCATGTCACATTTTCTAGAGCTGTCTTCCCATTCCCCCTCACAACCCTCCTCAGTCAGCGAAGGATCTCTCCTCGTGCCTTTGTGCTCCCCTTAGTTCCAGTCGATACTTCTTGGGCCCCCTACAGAGCTTCAGGGGTGGAGCAGAGAAAGAAAGGGAGGAGCTCTGCCTTAAAGAGTTGATGGTTGCCCTGGCTGGTTGCTCAGCGGTTAGAGCGTCAACCTGAGAACCGGAGAGTCCCAGGTTCGGTTCCCGCTAAGGGCACGTACCTTGGTTGCAGTTTGTCCCTGGCCCCAGTTGGGATCGTGTGGGAGGCAGTCACTCGATGTCTCTCTCTCACATGGACATTTCTCTCTTTCTCTCCCTCCCTCTCTCCCTCCCACTCTATCTGAAGATAAACGCAAAAATCTCCTGCAGTATTTGGGGTGAGCATAAAAAAAATAAAGAAATAAAGAGTTGATGGTTGAGTGTTGTGCAACACAATAGCCAGGTGTGGCTATTTTTTTCTTTTTTCTTTGAAAGTCTTTCAAGTTTATTTTATTTCATTGCCACGAGTGGCGCTTTAAATTTAAATTAATTTATTTAAATTTTTATAAGTATGTATTTTCGCCATCCTGACAACAAATGCTGGGGAGAAAGATCTCAAATGCTACCTAAATATTAATTAATTAAAGTAAAATTAAATGAAAAAAATTAACTTCTTCATTTGTACTAGTCACATTTTAACTGCTTGCCCAAAACCCATATAGAATAACTCTATCATCACAGGATATTCTAAGAGAAGTGGAAACACACACACATGCGCGCGCACACACACGCACACACGCACACACACACATCACAGGAAACAAGGTAACAAATGCAGTGTAGAAAACTGAAATAAAGTGACACAGAGAGAGTGGCTGGCCACTACAAACAGCAGGACCTAAGGAATGTCCAAGAAGGTGACATTTAAGCAGAGATCGGAATGAAAAGAAAAAGTCTGGAAATAGTGAGCTACAGGAATGGGGATTTCCCAGAGAACACTGCCAGGGCAAAGGTCCTCGAGTGGGCATGCATTCGAAAGAACCCTGAGCGGCAGGAGCCCTGTGGGCAGGGAGAGAGTAGTAGAGAAATCCGAGAGGTAGGCAGGGGCCAGATCACTGGGCCTTCGTATCTAGGTTAGAAGTTAGGGTTATTTTCCTTCTGAAAGAGCCATGGGAGGGTTGTAAGTGGGCGAGTGACATGGTCTAATTATATCTGCTGCTTATGTCATTCTGCCCAATTTTATTAGTTAAATGATTACTTTACCGTGTCTCTGTCCGATTTCACAATCCTGGAATTTTTCATCCGTAGTATATTTGTTAGCCTGCATAGAATAGTAAAAACTGTGGAAGAGTTGAATTAAATTAGAAAATCCTTATCACTGACTTGCTTTGGCAGAGTCTGAGTATAGCTAAATTCATCATAAAACCATTTTCCTCCCTAATAAATGAGGCATGGCCTTCTTCTATGCGAGGAATTTCAGAATTTGTCCCCCAACCTTTGGTCGTGGTTGAGGTAGGGTCAACAGTGTCCATTCTAAGTATATAAAGATGAAGCATAAAGGAAACCAGGTATCTGAGCTCACTTAAGCTTCCCAAGCCTCACTTCCTCCTCCAAGAATGGGTTAATAACAGCACCTGCCTAAGGGGGAAAGTAAAATGCACAGAGCCCGGGACACAGTACATTCTCCAGAAACCGTGGCTATAGTATTCATGCATATTTAGGTCTAGTTTTCAGAGTTCACCCGCACCCCTTTTGTTATTTCTAGAGCTATTTTATGGATGAGGAACTGAGTCACTCACAGAGATACTCAACTTCCTAAGGTGCAGAGCTGGGATCTGAACCACAGTGTAGAGGAGACTGTTTCTTTATGTGACCGCTGTCTGTCCCACAAGCTGGACTTGGGGCTGCCTGGAGGGTGCTTTCCACAACCCTCCATTAGAGACAGTCTGATGATAATTCATGTGCATTCCGACATAAATCGGCACCCTTTCCTTGCTCGCTGCTGGGTGCTGGGTCCTGGGATAGGCCCATTGTCCTGACCTGGTTAAGCATTCTAAGATTAGAACAGATTTAATTAAGTGGACTTATTTTTTAATTTATTTTTATTTTTTGTTGTTGATTTTAGAGAGAGAGAGAATTTGTTGTTCCACTTATTAATGCATTCGTTTGTTGATTCTTTTATGTGCCATGACTGGGGATTGAACCCCAAACCTTGTCATATCAGGACAATACTCTGACCAACTGAGGTATCGGGCCAGGGATAATTAAGTGGATTCAAATATCAAAAGTTAATTGATGTAGCCCTGGCCGGTTTGGCTCAGCGGTTAGAGCGTCCGCCTGTGGTCCGGAGAGACCCAGGTTCGGTTCCCGCTAAGGGCATGTACCTTGGTTGCAGTTTGTCCCCGGCCCTGGTTGGTCGTGCGGGTGGCAGCCACTTGATGTGTCCCTTTCACATCGATGTTTCCCTCTCTCTCTCTTCCTCTCTCTCCCTCCCACTCTACCTGTACAAAAAAATGGAAAAATGTCCTCGGGTGGTGAGGATAAAAAAAAAAAAAAAAAAAGTTAATTGATGTAAAATCAGAATTTGATTCTTTCTTAGTGTTAAAGTACAATAAAGGTGCGGAAAAGAAAGGACTCAGCAATAGGCCCTAGACTTGCCATGGACCACGGAGTTATGATAATAAGGACACAAAGCCCTTTTGTCCCTGGAACAAGAACCATTTAGTAGACTCTGCAATATGATTTTCCTCCCAGCGAGGTCTTTGTGTCCCTGGGTGGGGAGGAACTTCTGAGTCTCTGCTGACACCCATCCATGGAGACACGCTACACGTGGACTGGTACGTGCCCCATTGGAAGCAGGGAGAATGGGTCCTACTCTGGCATATACCCCCCCCCTTCGCCTCCTTACGCCAGAGAGCACAGCTTCCTCCTGGACAACATGTGTGCTTTACACAGCTGGCTAGGCTACAGGTGTCATTCTCCAAGAAGGAGAAGGGCTCCCAGTTCAAGTCCCTCCTAATTATTTGTCTTTCTGACCTTAGAACTCTGCTGTTCTCGTGGCATCCAGCATGGGGATGGGTGGGGCGCCTGTGCCGTTATCCAAACCGAATGTTGTGTTTTTACATCAGATGCATCTGCTAATATATATATTTTTTGGTAAGCCCATATGAAAAGTCAAATAAATGCCTTAAATGATCTGGTTCCAAGCCTAAGCAACCTACTAACCCATTGCTTTGAGTGTTAGGGGAAGCATGATGGAAATTTTTTTTTTCTAATACTTGGACTGCTTCTTTTCATTTGCCTTTTCTTGTATGTGTCTGTACTGTTGCTGAGAACTGAGTGTTCAGTGCAGTTGGTTAGCAGTAAGTGAGCTGCCTCCCTGCTCCTGAAGCCCCTCGCTGACCACTCAGGTTATCTTGCAGGAGAGAGGGGGCATGGGATGTTTAGAGCCGGTCACGAGGGTGGAGTGTGGCAGAGAGATTGTTTCTTGAACTGACTGCTGTTTGTTTCACAAGCTGGGCTCAGGCCAGAGTGGAGGTTGCTTTCCACAACCCCCACTGTGAGACTGCCTGATCATAATTGATAAAATTCATTCTGGCATTAATCAGTACCCTTGCCTTGCCCCCTGCTAGGTGCCAATTCTCGGAATAGGCCGTTGTCCTGACCTTGTCAAGCATGTAAAGTAATTTCCAATACCTGATAGCATTCGTGAACTAGCACCTTTGACTCTCCCCACTCTTTACTCTACATAATTCTCTGGTCCCTGCCAAGACACGGGGGGATCCCTTTGTCTCGCAGCCTCCTGGGAACAGCCGTGCATGGACGTTTTTCTTACTAAACTGTCAGCTGCCAGACAAGGGTGGCCTGCTTCTTCTGTCAGTCTCTCTCTCTTCCATTTGCAGAAGTAGCCTTTCAGTTTGGGGGCTTTGCTCCGAGTCTGCAGGTCTGAACAGCAGGTCCAGTCCACGTTCGGCTTGCCGAAACATTCTCCTGACATCATTCACTGAATGCAGTCTGAGCCATTGCTTCCCGGAGCGTAAATGATGAAACACAGTGAATCACATTCTGAATTAATTCGTGTTAATAGGTAACTTGGCAATATATAATTGAGGCTAGGGACTAACCATTGTGGCCACAGGGCAAGAAGTACCCTCTCTCACCCCAGGGCCAGTGGACTGTCATCTCAGAGGCCAAGGGTAAGTGCATCATTACCATCGGGGGACTGGTCTTCGCTCTGCTGTTCCCCCCACTGAGCCTGGCTCTGGTTTCCTTCTGCTTACTCCTTACTCTCCTGCATGAGCAGCAGGAGTCACTCTGGACGTTATGTGTGGAAGAGTAGCTGGGGAAACAGGGGCTGCTTCCAAGGACAGCTTTGCCTGTCTGTTGGAGGTGCAGAGCCCTCAACCACCCTGAGCCAACAGAGACCCGAAGCCACTGTCCGTGGGCTCCCAGCCATAGCAGGGGAGGCTCATGAGGTTCCCCCAGTCAGGGTGAAAGGAAAAGTTGCAATCTGAGAATTAAGATGGTTTCCACACCATCTGTCGTGGACACACCAAACAGTCCGTTTTCTCTGTCCTTTAGGCTAACGCCATCATGCATCCTTGGGTAGCCTTCACAGGCCTCATACTACTTTGGACAGGTAAGTGGATAGGTGGGCTGGGTCTGGAAGCTCTGAGCCTGGGGAGCCCAGGGATGTGTGGGTGCGGTGGAGGAGGGTGGATGTGCCTGGGCTCTGCTGGGAGGTAGTGGTCACCCAGTGAACAAAGAACCGGGCTGAAATCCTGCTCCAAAGAAATTGCTTAAATGCCATGAATTACAAAATCTATGGCCGAGGATAACAGTGTGTCACATGCTGCCATTTGTTTTTAAGGCAAAGAAAGGTAGGTAGACAGCTGGGTATGCACGGACTTCTCCATGTATGTGAAAAATAGTACCAGCGTTATCACGGTGTGGGAAGGGATGGAAAGAAGAAACAGGGAGAGGATGGGAAAGGGGCCTGTCTTTCATTGTACATTTTGTGCTGTTGATTGTCATGAAGACAATATAGGGTGTCAACGCCACTACCACACGGGAGAGCTTTTGTTTTTGTGTGTGTGTGTGTGTACATGCCCCTAGCGAGAACCAAACCGGGGACTCTCTGGTCCACAGGCCGACACTCCAACCGCTGAGCCAAACCGGCCAGGGCGAGCTTTTGTTTTTGTTTTTTTTGTTTTTTTTTATCCTCACCCGAGGACATTTTTCCATTTTTTGTACAGATAGAGTGGGAGGGAGAGAGAGGAAGAGAGAGAGAGAGAGAGAGGGAAACATCGATGTGAAAGGGACACATCGAGCGGCTGCCACGCGCACGACCAACCAGGGCCAGGGACAAACTGCAACCAAGGTACATGCCCTTAGCGGGAACCGAACCCGGGTCTCTCTGGACCGCAGGCCGACGCTCTAACCGCTGAGCCAAACTGGCCAGGGCCGAGCTTTTGTTTTTAAGTGGCATAATGTCGTACTTGGTCGAATATTCCCCAGTTCTCTGGGTTCTCCAGGGGAAGTGGGCCTTGCTCAAGTGCTTGTCGTCCACTCATGAGAACGGGTTTCCACTTGGATTTTTAGACCGTCCTCAAGGGCACCACAGCCTTGGCTCCTCCTGGACGTGTTGAGACGCTTCATCTAAAAATCAATCCTGCCCTGGCCGGTTTGGCTCAGAGGTTAGAGTGTCGGCCTGCGGTCCTGAGAGACCCGGGTTCGGTTCCCGCTAAGGGCGCGTACCTCGGCTGCAGTTTGTCCCCGGCTCTGGTCAGTCGTGCGGGTGGCAGCCACTCGATGTGTCCCTTCACGTCGATGTTTCTCTCTCTCTGTTCCTCTCTCCTCCTCCTACCCTACCTGAACAAAAATGTCCTCGGGTGAGGATAAAAAAAAAAAAAAAATTAAAAATCAATCCTGAAGAGTTCATGAGACTTCTGTCTTTAAGCCGTCAGTACTTCAAAGAACACAGTAGCTCCGCTTATTTTTACGAGAGATGGGGAGTGAGGTGACTTCCTTTGCAATAGACATTTTTAAAAATGCAGCGAAGCCTGGCCAGTGTGGCTCAGTGGACTGAGCAGTGTCCCATGGACCGAGAGGTCCCGGTTCGATTCCCGGTCAGGGCACATGCTGGGGTTGTGGGCCCAGTCCCCAGTGGGGGTCGTGCAGGAGGCAGCTGATGTTCCTCTCTCACGTTGATGTTTTTATCTCTCTCTCAAAAAAAATTTAAAACCATTAAAAATAAATAAATAAATAGAAATAGCAGTAAAAAGTTAATTGCATGGAATTTTCATATGTATTTCTAGGAGGGGAAAAGCAACATGTATACATTATGGTTTAATAAGCCGATACGTGTCAAACACAGAATGAAATACATGCTCATGTATTGCTAGAGTGCCATTTGGTTCAAACATTTTGGAAAGAAATTTGAAAAGAAGACATGGGAAATACTTCTGGTCTTTATCCTGATAATTTCTCTTTTAGAAATTTATGCTCTTAGTAAATAATCCTAAATACAGAAAAAAGTTTATGTGTTATTTACAACTATCAAAAAACAACTGATAAAGATGTATACAGAAAAACACTTAAAATGTTCAGATTCAAGATGTAAAGATCCAAGATTAGAAATGAAATAAATTGCAAAAAGAAAAAAGTAGAAATAAATGTAAAATTGAAACACTGAGGCCTCCTGCTCTGCTTTCTTATTTGCAGACGCTGTGGATTCTCAGGCACGTGTGACCGGCGTGGTGGGTCAGCCTGTCACGCTACCCTGCACCTACTCAACAGCCTCTGAGATCACGTCCATGTGCTGGGGCCGAGGGGGCTGTGCTATATTTAAATGCTCAAATCAACTCATCTGGACTGATGGATACAGAGTCACCTTTCGGAAGGATAAGCGTTATGATCTCCACGGCATCATTCCCCGGGGGAATGTGTCCTTGACCATAGAGGATGCAGCTGAGTCTGACAGTGGCACCTATTGTTGCCGCGTTGAGCACACTGGGTGGTTTAATGATTTGAAAATCCACGTATCATTGGTGGTCAAGCCAGGTGAGCTTGCCTGCCTTCTTCCTGTGATCACGCCTCGTGGGTGAACGGAGATGTTTCCTGTTAGTAGTAACATTCTCTTCCTTCAATCAAGAAAGGGGGGGGGGGAGTCCTACAATCCTGTGTTTTAATAACTGATGGGAAATAGAATTGCTTATCTGTGTAGAACGAAGTGTTAAAAACAACCTTGGTTCAAGAACGTAGGCTAGAGCATCTTCCCAGCCAGGGGCTCTCTTTCCAAGCGGTGCTCCAGAAATGCTGGTTAGCTCAGGGGAAGCATTCCCTGCTCCACTGGGAACGTGGTGAGCATTTTCCCCAGCTGCATTTATTCAGAAGTCAATCAAAGTTTATAAAATGACCTTTCTTAACATTTTACAGCTAAGGTGGAGAATTTCAAAAGTAAAAATTAGGTAATATTATATAAGATGTTAAGTAGATACATCACCAATTTTGATATTTATCAATTCAACTGCGTTGCCATACACATTGTGTAAAAATATATAGTTTACCCCTACACTCCCTACCTTGGACTTTTTGAAGTATATGTCATGTCATCTTATGTCATAGCATTATTTGTTTGAACATTAAAATGAACCTCACTGCGGCCCTGGCCAGTGTGACTTGGTTGGTTGGTTATCCTCCGGTGCACAGAACGGCTGCTGGTTTGATTCCTGGTCAAGGCACATGCCCCGGTTGTGGGGCATGAAGGAATCAGCCTATATATATTTTGCTTTCACGTTGATATTTCCCTTTCTTTTTTTCTTTTCTTTTTTTTTATCATCCTCACCCGAGGACATTTTTCCATTCTTTGTTCAGGTAGAGTGGGAGGGAGAGAGAGGAACAGAGAGAGAGAAACATCGATGTGAAAGGGACACATCGAGTGGTCGCCACCTGCACAACCAACCAGGGCCGGGGACAAACTGCAACCGAGGTACGTGCCCTTAGCGGGAACCAAATTCGGGTCTCTCTGTACCGCAGGCCGATGCTCTAACCGCTGAGCCAAACCGGCCAGGACCCTTTCCTCTTTCTTAAAAATCAATTAAAAAAAAAAAAAAGACCTTATTGCAACATGAAAACATCTGCGACCCAAAAACTGTTCACCAGTTGCTTTTAAGATTTTTATGAAATCTAGAAATATGGGAAATTTACTCCTCTTGCTGTGGACATTTTAATAGTCTTAACACTCAATTAAAAAGGTGACTAGAGCCCTGGCCGGTTTCACTCAGTGGTTAGAGCATCGGTCTGCAGTCCAGAGAGACCCGAGTTCGGTTTCTGCTAAAGACACGTACCTCGGTTGCAGTTTGTCCCCGGCCCTGGTTGGGTCGTGCGGGTGGCAGCCACTTGATATGTCCCTTTCACGTTGATGTTTCTCTCTCTCTCTCTCTTCCTTGCACTCCCTCCCACTCTATCTGAACAAAAAATGGAAAAAATGTAAAAAATATCCTCAGATGAGGATAAAAAAAAAAAAAAAAAAGGTGAGTTGAGGATTGCCTGGTCTCTGGTGCTCTTTCTTTTTAAAATTTTTAATTAATTCTTTGATTTTTAGATAGGTAGAGAGAGAAAGAGACACATTATTGTACTTATTTATGCATTCATTGCTCAATTCATGTACGTGCCTTGACCCGATATTGAACCTGCAAACATTAACATATCAGGTCGACACTCTAACCAGAGCCACGGGCCGGGTTCTGGTGCTCCATATCAATGAATCTCCCTCCACCAAGGCTTCATTTTGACAGTAGAACCCAATAACTGTGGCCTTAATAACTTCTATCTCAATTTTTTCTAATTAAGAGACACTTTATTTTGTAAACTCCCAATGGTTGGAATTGGCTTGTCTGCCTTATGAAGGAAAGTAAGAGAAGGTCGGTTCAGATGGAGAAAACAGCTGACTCTGGGGAAACTGTATGTGGGAGGCAGTTCAGGAAAGTCAAGGTGATGACATGGTGGGCTACACAGAGATGTGAGGGGGAGGATGGGAAGAGATTACAGTTGCAGCTCTTTTGGAGTTGCAGTTATCTTGATCTGGCTGAATTTAAGAAAATGATATAGAAAGAGATCACTAGGAAATTTTATAGAGCCCACCAATCCTTTGATAGGTAGGTATGTACAAGGCCATTGCTGTGTCCAGTGGGAAGTAGGTTATGAAGGAGAGAAGGGTTTCAATGAAAAGTAACCTCACAGGGTGATCTCATCCTAAATTCCTACCTGGACAGGTCTTGGTGAATAGTCATGCTTCAGTTATACAACTTCTTTATTAAAAATTTGCATTTTTGTTTTAAAGCAAGCCCGGCCCTTTGTTTCTGTGCATCTGGGTCAACACATCTTTCCAATGCCCCGGTCAGACACCTCCTTGTAGTAACCTGACCACCCTTTCAGGACCCTCAAGAGAGCATGTAATCTTAACTACCCTGTAATCCCATCCTATTTGCTTCCTCCTATCTTCATGTAATCTTCCTTAAATTTGCTCCTTAAACCCAAATGCATAAACACAACTGCAAACTATTAGTCTCCAAAGCATTTGTCTCAGTCTGTTGAAATCCTCTGTTTGGCTGAAACACATTTTTACAATAGTTCTTTATGGCTTTGGAAGTTTTTAAGTCCATAACTCAGCCACAGTGAACCCTCTGTCTCCAATAGCCAATTCACTGCTTAAGGTTTCTTGCATTTTGCGCAGGCTGAGTTTACTCTTCACCTTCTGTTACAGCTTTTGCTCACCAGCATCTTTCCTTATGGTTTCTTGGTTGCATCCAGTGGAAGGTGTTTTCCATGGAAGAAAACAGTCCATTAGACAATCTGATTGGGTGTCTGTTCTTATACCTCATGCTCCTCCTGTCACATTTTTGTATGGTTGCTTTTTTCCTCTAGATTTGATTTTACACTGGAGGGAGGTGATTGGAATGGGCTTTCCCCAAGAGGATCTGACTACACCTGAGATCAGGGTCAGCAAACAATAGCCCTGGGGCAGATCAAGTTTCAAACAGACCCACCAACTCTTTTATCAGTAAAGTTTTATTGGAACAGCCATACCCATTCCCTATACCAATCCAGGGTATTCTTTTTTGCCTCTGAACCTCCCAAAATATATACCTTGCAATACAGCTTTTTCCCATTTGCAAACTTGTGTTCGAGACCTCCCCTGTCATAGTCTGGTTGGTCCAAAATGAGAACTCTGAGTTCAAGGGAGCTTAGTGTCCAGTTTGACCTGGGGACAGTCTCCCATTGGAAACTCCTGTGTACAGGCCCAACATAAAGCTGTTGGTTCATGATGCTTGTTTCTTCATCACTTTCATGTTGTTTTCAGCTCCCCCGAAGGTCACCAGTGCTCCAGTAACAACGAAGGCCACCACCTCTGCTCCTACAACTCCAACATCAACACCAACCCTTATGACAGGTAAAATGCCCTGGGTGGTCTGACACCGTGGTTAGAGCTTTGGTCCACGCATCAGAGGGTCACGGGTATGATTCCTGGTCAAGAGAAGTCACCTGAATTGCAGGTTCCATCCCAGGGCCCAGTCAGAGGGCATGCAGGGGGCCACTAATCGATGTCTTCCTCAGATTGATGTTTATGTTTTTCTGTCTCTGTCTCTTTCTCTCCCTCTCCCTCCCTCATCTACTCTCTCTAATAATCAGTAGGAAAATATGCACAGGTGAGGATTAACAACAACAACAACAAAAAGACAAGTAAACTGGTGTGTTTCTGAGGCTAGAAGCCTTCTATTGAGAGTATGAAGACCACCCAGGGCGTGTACAAAGTCAGATGTACAACAATCTAAGATAAAGGTCATTTCCTGGGTTAAATACATGGCCTTACAGTATCCGAGAGCCACCATTCTATATAGTAGGCACCTTCTTGTACCTGTAAGTATTTCTAGAGTGAGGGGATCCAGAGTTTTTTCAAATCAGATCATCAGAGTGTTCGTTATAACACAAGTAAACTCAGACCACTGCACTTGACTATGTAATGAGGATGCCGAGGATTTACCCAGCTGAGCAAGGGTTTATGAGGAACATCCAGGGGATGCAAAAGAGGAAGGATCAGGTTAATGAGATCTGTCCTCGGAACAGCTCTGAGTGGAGAGCATTTAGTCCACTCTGAAGTGGACCCTCCACCAGAGGATAAGATTTCGGCAAAGATAATAGTACTTTGTTTCCTATGTTAAGAACCATACTAAGTCCTTTGCAAGTATTATATCACTTAGTTCTTATGAAATCCTTGTACATTAGAGGTATGATTCAGTCCTATTTTATAGTTCTGTATTCTGACAAGTCTATAGCTCACTAACAATAACAATTGTTGATTCAGTCTTGTTGCTTCTACACTGAGGTGACCTTATCATAGTATGAAAACATTTGCACCCAACAAGTGTTCACCAGTGGCTTTTAGATTTTCATGAAATCTGAGCATCTGGGAAGTTTGCGTTGCTTTCATGTTGATGTGACATGCTAACAGCCTTACATAGCATGAAAGTAGTAGGTTCTTGAGCGTTTCCCAATTTCTAGTGCTCCCTTTAATAAATCTCTTTCTGCCCTGGCCATTTTGGTTCAGTGGTTAGAGCATCAGCTTGCCATCCAGAGAGACCTGGGTTCGGTTCCTGCTAAGGGCATGTACCTCGGTTGCAGTTTGTCCCCAGCCCTGGTTGTGTTGTGCCAGAGGCAGCCACTCGATGTGTCCCTTTCACATCAATGTTTCTCTCTCTCTCCCTCCCACTCTATCTGAACAAAAAATAAAAAAATGTCCTTGGGTGAGGATAAAAAATCTCTTTCTACTAAGATTTCATATTGACGGTAGAACCCAATACCTGTGGCCTTAATAACTTATGTCTGCATCTTTTTTTAATGAAGAGAAACTCTAGTTGGTAAACTCCCAATGTTGGAATTGGCTCTTGTGCCTTATGATGTAAGATACGGTCAGTTGAGATGGAGAAAACAGCTGACTCTGGGGAAACTATATGTGGGAGGCAATTCATGAAAGTCAAAGAGGGTGATGAGATGGTGGGCTACACAGAGATGTGAGGGGGAGGATGGGAAGAGATTATGCGTGCAGGTTTTTTGAGTTGTAATTATCTTGATTAGGCTGAATTTCAGAAACTGGTTCGGACGGAAATCACTAGGAAGTTTTATAGTGTCCACTGATTCTTTAGCCGGTAGGTATTTACGAGGCTATTGCTCTATCCAGTGGGAAGTAGGTTATGGAGGAAAGACAGGGTTCTATGGAAAGTAACCTCACAGAGTGAACTCATCCTAAATTCCTACATGGGCAGGTCTTGGTGAATAGTCATGCTTTAGTTATACAACTTCTTTACTAAAAAATGCCTTTTTTAAAGCAAGCCTTGCCCTTATTTCTGTGCATCTGGGTCAACACATCTTTCCAATGACCCTTTAAGTCACGTCCCTGTAGTAACCTGACCACCCTTTCAGGATCCTCAAGAGAGCATATCCTATTTGCTTCCTCCAATCTGCATGTAATCTTCCTTAAATTTGCTCCTTAAACCCAAATGCATAAACACAAAGTGCAAACTATTAGTCTCCAAAGCATTTGTCTCAGTCTGTTGAAATCCTCTGTCTGGCTGAAACACATGTTTTAAATAGTTCTCTACAAGTCTGGAAATTTTTAAGTCCATAACCAAGCCACAGTAAACACTCTGTCTCCAATAACCAATTCACTGCTTAAGGTTTCTTGCATTTTGCACAGGTTGAATTTACTCTTCCCCTTCTGTTACAGCTTTTGCTCACCAGCAACTTTCCTTACAGTTTCTTGGGGGCTTCCAGGGGAAGGTGTTTTCCATTGGAGAAAACAGTCCATTAGACAATCTGATTGGGTGTCTGTTCTTATACCTCATGCTCCTCCTGTCACATTTTTATATGGTTGCTTTTTTCCTCTAGACTTGATTTTAAACTGGAAGTAGGTGATTGGAATGGGTTTTCGCGAAAAGGCTCGAACTATGCATGAGATCAGGGTCAGCAAACTATAGCCCTGGAACAGATCAAGTTCAAAACAGGCCCACTGGCTGTTTTATCAGTAACATTTTATTGGAACAGCCATACCCATTCCCTGTGCTCTCTGGTCTGGCTGCTTTCACACTGACAGGGTTGAGCAGCTGCCACGGAGACCACAGCGCCCTCAAAGCCCCCACACAGGGTTTGCTGGCCTCAGCTGCAGACTAAAGCCCTGCATATGGTAGACAAGATATTTGTTGGGAAACAGGGTTTTCCTCGTCAGGACAGAAATCGGCCCCATTACAAGTTGAACTGGAGCTCTCAGAGAGAGCTTCCCAGGGTGTCGTGCCTATTCTAAGGTTTCTGGTATAGTTGGGAGAGTTGAGATTTAAGGAAACTTCTTACAGGTGACAGAGTGCCTGGTGAGAAAATATGCATTGTTAATCAGGCCTTATCAATCTGTTTTTGTGCCAAGCATTGTGTTTGTGCTTTTTTTTAATCCTCACCCGAGAACATTTTTCCATCTTTTGTTCAGATAGAGAGGGAGAGAGAGAGAGAGATCAACGTGAAAAGCACACATCGACTGGTTGCCACCCACACAGCCCATCCAGGGCCAGGGCCAAACTGCAACCGAGGTACATGCCCTTTGCGGGAACCAAACCCAGGTCTCTCTGGTCCCCAGGCAGACGCTCTAACCACTGAGCCAAACCGGCCAGGGCGTGTCTGTGCTTCATTGTGGTTTTAGCGGTAAGTGGTTTTTAATCCTACACCCCCCTGACTCTGGGAGGAGTCCCAGTTACTTCCTGTGGTCTAGTCCACCTTCTAGCCAGATGCGAACATTGTCTGTGTCATCTAACATATGCCAGGGGGCACAGGATTATCCTTATTTAGGGTGCTGGTCCCTTGGGAGCGTACCCTCAGGACTGATTGCACTGAGTGCTATTTATTTGGTAAACATTCTAAGAATGTAGGAATTGAACAGAAGAGAGAAAGAACCCAAGGACATGGACTACAGAGTGGTGATAGCAGGGGGTAAACAGGGGTGCAGGCAGAGATGGGGGAAAGTGGTGAAGGACCAAAAAGTAATGAAATATAGAAATAATATTTAAAAAATGTCTTATTTATTCACCACTGGAAAGGCAGGGACAGGTCTTGGCCTAATCCTTTTACCCACTTCACAGTTGGTTATGAAGATACATAAATAAGGCAGAAATGGTTGGTCTTTGTAAAGTGCTTCATTGTAAATCTAGGTTATTCCTTTCACCTCCGAACCTCCTGAAATATACACCTTGCAATACAACTGTTTCTCTTTGCAAGCTTGTCTTCAAGCCATCCCGTCACATTCTAGTTGGTCAAAAATGAGAACTCTGAGTGCAAAGGAGATTAGTGCCCAGTTTTGCGTGGGGCCAGTCTCATTGGATGTGTGTGTACAGGCCCAACATAAAACTCTTGGTTCGTGCTGCTTGATTCATCCTTGCTTTCATATTGATTTCCAGCTCCACCTGAGGTCACCGGTGCTCCAGCATCACCTAAGGCCGCCACTTCTGCGTCTACCACTCCAGCATCAACACTAACTCTTAAGACAGGTAAACAGCTCTGGCTGGTGTTACTCAGTTGTTAGAGCTTTGCCTGATGCACTAGAGAGTCACAGGTTTGATTCCTAGTCAAGGGAAGTCAACTGAGTTAAAGGTTCTATCCCAAGTCCCAGTCAGAGGGCATGCAGGGAGCAACCAATCGATGTGTCTCTCTCACATAGATGTTTCTCTCTGTCTCTGTCTGTGTCTCTCCCTCTCCCTCCCTTGTCCACTCTCTCTAAAAATCCATGGAAAAATATCCTCGGGTGAAGATTTACAATAATAAAAAAAAAGACCCGTAAACTGACGTATGTCTGAGGATGGAAGCCTTTTATTGAGGTGATGAAGACAACCCAGGATGTGTTTTAAGTCAGACTTACAATCTAAGATAAGAGTCCTTCCCTGGGTTAAATACATGGCCTTACAGTATCTATGACCCACCATTCTATATAGAAGACACCTTCTTGTACCTATAAGTATTTCTAGAGTGAGGGGACCCATAGTTTATTCAAATCAGATAATCAAAATGTTCATTATTACACAACTAACCTCAGACCACTGTACTTGACTATCTAATGAGGATGCCGTGGAGTTAGCCCAGTTGAACACAGGTCTATGAAGAAAATCTAGGGAATGCAAAGGAAGGATCAGGATAATGAGATCTGTCCTCTGAAACAGCTCTGAGTGGAGATCCTTTAGTCCACTCATAAGTTGGACACTCTACTAGAGCATAAGATTTCAGTGAAGATAAATAATACTTACTTTGTTTCTTATGTTAGGAACTATACTAAGTCCTTTACAAGTATTATATCACTTAGTTCTTATGAAATCCCTGTACATCATAGGTATAACTCAGGTCTATTTTGTCGTTGTGTGTACTGACAAGTAGATAGCTCGCCAACAATAACAATTGTCAATTCAGTCTTGTTGCCTCTACACTGAAGTGACCTCATTATAATATGACAACATTTGCATCCTAATAACTGTTCACCAGTTGCTTTTAATATTTTCATGAAATCCAAAACTCTAGGAAGTTTGTGTTGCTTTCATGTTAATGTGGACATGCTCAGTGCCTTCAGAATTTTCTAGTTTCTGGTGCTCTCTCTTAATGAATCTCTTTCTACTAAGATTTCATATTGACAGTAGAACCCAATACCTGTGGCCTTAATAACTTATGTCTGTATTCTTTTCTAATGAAGAGAAACTTTATTTGGTAAACTTCCTACTGTTGGAATTGGCTTGTTTGCCTTAGGAAGGAAAGTAAGATAAGGTCAGTTCAGATGGAGAAAACAGCTGACTCGGGAAGCTACATGGTGGAAGGCAATTCAGGAAAGTCAAGGAAGGTGATGAGAGAGTAGGCTACAAAGAGATGTGAGGAGGGCGTATGGGAAGAGATTATGATTGCATCTTTTGGAGTTGTAGCTATCTGATCTGGCTGAATGTAAGAAAATGATACAGAAAAAAGTCACTAGGAAATTTTACAGAGCCCACTAATCCTTTAATAGGTATTTAGAAGGCCATTGCTCTATTCAGTGAGTAGTAGAAAGAAGTGATTCTATGGAAAGTAACCTCACAGGGTGATGTCATCATTAATTCCTACCTGCGTAGGTCTTGGTGAATAGTCATACCTTAGTTATACAACTTCTTTACTAAAAATTTGCCTTTTGTCTAGCAAATCCTGCCCCTTGCCTCTGTGCATCTAGGTCAACACATCTTTGAAATGCCCCCTTCAGGTTACTTCCTTGTAACCTGCCCACTCTTTAGGGTCCTCTAGAGAGCATGTAATCTTTTTTTTTTTTACTTTATTGATTTATCTAGAATAAGGGAGAGGGAGACAGCAATAAAAACATAGAGAAGTGAATGTGGGTTGGCTGCCTCCTGCATGCCCCCTACTGGGGCTTGGGCCCTAATTTGGGCATGTGCCCTGACGGAGAATGGAACCACTGAGTGACACCACCGGATGGGACCATGTAATCTTAACTACCCTGTAATCCCATCCTATTTGCTTCCTCCTGTCTTCATGTAATCGTCCTTAAATTTGCTCCTTAATCCCAAATCTATGAAAAAAAACCCTGCAAACTTTTGTTCTCCAAAGTGTTTATCTCAGTCTGTTGAAATCCTCTGTTTGGCTGAAACACATTTTTTAAATAGTTCTCTATAGGTTTGAAAGTTCTTAAATCCACCTCTCAGCCATAGTGACGCTCTGTCTCCAATAACCAATTCATTGCTTAAGATTTCTTGCATTTTGCACAGGTTGAATTTACTCTTCGCCTTCTGTTAGAGCTTTTGCTCAATAACATTTTTCTTCATGGTTCTTGGCTTCTTTCTGGGAAAGCTATTTTCCATTGAAGAAAACAGTTCATCAGACCCTCTGATTGGGTGTCCTCTTCTTGTTCCTTATGCTCCTTCCATCACATTTTTTGCTTGCTTACTTTTTTCCCTCTAGATTAGATTTCAAATGGGAGGGAAGTGTGTGGATTGTGTTTTCTCTAGAAGCTCTGACTACAGCAAACTGAAGCCCCGAAGCCAGATCAAGTTCAACATGGCATACCCATTCCCTGTGCTCTCTGGTCTGGCTGCTTTCACACTGACAGGGTTGAGCAGCTGCCCCGGGGACCACAGCGCCCTCAAAGCCCCCACACGGGGTTTGCTGGCCTCAGCTGCAGACTAAAGCCCTGCATATGGTAGACAAGATATTTGTTGGGAAACAGGGTTTTCCTCGGCAGGACAAAAATTGGCTCGATTCCAAATCAAATTGGAGCTCTCAGAAAGAGCTTCCCAGGTATTTGTGCCTATTCTAAGGTTTCTGTGTATAGTTGGGAGAGTTGAGATTTAAGGAAACTTCTTACAGGTGACAGAGCGCCTGGGGAGAAAAGGTCTGCCTTGTTAATCAGGCCTTATCAAGCTGCTTTTGTGCCAGGCATTGTGTCTGGGCTTCATTCTGGTTCTGGCTCTCTTTCTGGGTATGTCCTACACCCCCCTGACTCTGGGAGGAGTCCCAGTTACTTCCTGTGGTCTAGTCCACCTTCTAGCCAGATGCGAACATTGTCTGTGTCATCTAACATATGCCAGGGGGCACAGGATTATCCTTATTTAGGGTGCTGGTCCCTTGGGAGCGTACCCTCAGGACTGATTGAACTGAGTGCTATTTATTTGGTAAACATTCTAAGAATGTAGGAATTGGACAGAAGAGAGAAAGAACCCAAGGACATGGACTACAGAGTGGGATAGCAGGGGGTAAACAGGGGTGCAGGCAGAGATGGGGGAAAGTGGTGAAGGACCAAAAAGTAATGAAATATAGAAATAATATTTAAAAAATGTCTTACTTATTCACCACTGAAAAGGCAGGGACAGGTCTTGGCTTAATCCTTTTACCCGCTTCACAGTTGGTTATGAAGATACATAAGTAAGGCAGAAATGGTTGGTCTTTTTAAAGTGCTTCATTGTAAATCTAGGTTATTCCTTTCACCTCCGAACCTCCTGAAATATACACCTTGCAATACAACTGTTTCTCTTTGCAAGCGTGTCTTCAAGCCATCCCGTCACATTCTAGTTGGTCAAAAATGAGAACTCTGAGTGCAAGGGAGATTAGAGCCCAGTTTTGCGTGGGGCCAGTCTCATTGGATGTGTGTGTACAGGCCCAACATAAAGCTCTTGGCTCCTGCTGCTTGATTCATCCTTGCTTTCATGTTGATTTCCAGCTCCACCTGAGGTCACCGGTGCTCCAACATCACCTACGGTCTTCACCTCTGCACCTACAACTCCAGCATCAACACCAAACATTAACTCAGGTAACTGCCCTGGCTGGTGTTACTCAGTGGTTAGAGCTTTGGCCCATGCACTAAAGGGTCTTGGGTTTGATTTCTGGTCAAGGGAAGTTACCTGAGTTGCAGGTTCCATTCCAGGTTCCAGTCAGAGAGCATGGAGGGGGAACCAATTGATGTGTCTCTCTCACATCGATGTTTTTCTCTCTCTCTTTAAAATTTTTTTTTTTTCCTTATTGATTTTAGAGAGAGAGAGATAGAAACATCGATGAGAGAGAACATCGACTGGCCACCTCTTGCATGCTTCCACTGGAGATCAGGCCACAACCTAACCGGGAACTGAACTGGTGTCCTCTTGGTGCATGGTTCGATGCTCAACCACTGAGCCACACTGGCTGGACTCTCTCTCTCTTTCTCTCTGTCTCTGTCTCTTTCTTTCCCTCTCCCCCCCTCATCCACTCTCTAAAAATCAGTGCAAAAATATCCTCAGGTGAGGATTAACAATGACAAAAAAAGACAGGTTCACTGATGTACTTCTGAGACTAGAAGCCTTCTATTGAGAGGATGAGGACCACCCAGGGCATGTATAAAGTCAGATGTACAATAAAGTAAGGGTCCTTTCCTGGGTTAAATACATGGCTTTATACTATTCCTGAACCACTGTTCTATATAGTAGGCATATTTTGTACCCAGAAATATTTTTAGAGTGAGGGAACCCCAATTTTTTTTATATCAGATCATCAAATGTTTTTATTATTGGCCTGCTTACCTTAGACTACTGACCTTGCTTATCTAATGAGGATGCCGTGGATTTAGTCTAGTTGAGCACAGGTTTATGAGGAACATCTAAGGGATGCAAAAGAAGAAGGATCAGGCTAATTACATCTGTCCTCTGAAACAGCTCTGAGTGGAGATCATTTAGTCCACTCCGATGTGGAGCCTCCACTGGAAGATAAGATTTCCAGTGAAGATAATAATATTTACTTTGATTCCTACATTAAAAACCATATTAAGTATTTTACAAGTATTATATCACTAAATTCTTATGATATCCCCAGGCAGCTGAATATGTGAGAGAATCTGTTGACTTTCTCACTATTAATTTAGCTTCTTTATACTTAGTATGACTTCATGTGTGCCTGCAAAAGTGTGCGGGTTAGTGGACTTGGTTTAGCAAACATATATATGTTTTTTACTTCACTTAAAGCAGAGATTCAGAAGTAAAGATCTGTGTGACCTCCTGAGGATTATTAATATTATTATTAATTGAATTGAGCCTTATACTTATTCTAAAAGTTTCCTAAGAGTTTGAGTTTAGAGTTGAGCTTTACAGTACAGGAGGAAGGTGAACACCAGAGCTAATTCAATGCAGAGACATTTACCTTCACATCCACTCCCTGCCTGTCCTCAGTGACTCTAGCACATGCCAGTTTCCTAGAATATTCATGGAATGGATGTAAGTTGTAGGAGCAGGGGAGCAAAGAAAGATGCCCATAAAAGTCAAACTCGGGAAAGAAGTTAAGGTCAAGTGGTCTTTTGCACAGATCTAGTTGGATAGACTCTGACCATCTGACTTTTTATATTATCCTGTTCTTTCATCCTAAAGAGAGCCGCATCCTGGTACAGGGTTCAGTCTTGGGGGAACACATGACACCGCTTCAGAACATAAGGAAGGGTGATGTTGCAATGTGACGTTTATGGTGGGAAAGAGGACACAGGAAGACCAAGGAGAGGCAAAGGGAAGGTTTGAGGATTCTTGTCCTGCCAGCACCACTAACTTGCTGTCAAGTTCTGTGGGGCTCTGAGGGGAGAGAATGTAAAGATCCTGGAGAGAGGCTTTGTGGTGAGAAATGGCAGATGAGTCAGACAACACAGGAAATGAGTCTTACAAAAGAGTGCGCAGAATGTAGCTGTAGTAGGAGGTGGGTCAAAGTCTACCAGGAACCTGGCTTTGAGGCTTGTCAATCATTACCAAGTCGAGACATTGGGCAACGTAATCACCTTCAAGGAGTTAAATGTTGTGAGTATGTATCCTGTGCTGGTCCACGTGTGCATCTCCCTGGAAACGTGTGGATGGATAACTGGGAACTTGAACAACGTTCAAGAAACCCAGATTGGGGTTGTTGTGACCATGGGAGGACAGATTAGTGTAAACTCCCAACTCTGTTCCATGAAAATGAAATGTCATTTGCGTGGGTAAAAGCTTGATCAGGTGTCTGACAGGGATGCACAGCTGTAGGCATTGGGCATTCAGGGAGATCCTGAGTGTGAACAGTGTGAAATAATTGTATCCATATATAACTACCAAGACCATTGTCTACATCAGATTTGTTCTGATAATGAACTATCCAGAGGGCGGTACGGTGCCTCAATGTTATGTCTGAATAAATTTCTAAGAGAGAGTTCAGAGTAATTTCTAATTTTAGCTTTGTTGCCTACTTTTCTTGGGCAGAGGGGCATGGAGATTTCTCTCTACAAATAGAATAGAGCTTTTTCACCCGTTTTATTTCAGAGACTACTTCATCTTCTCCAATGCAGACAAATGAAACCTGGCCTGTCACTCCACGGGAAAGAAATACAACCAGCTCTTCTTGCCCAGCAGGTAACTCCATTTTCTTTCCTGAAGACTTAGAGCATTCCAATTTTGATAATTATTGACATGTTAAGAGCACATATTCTGACATGAGTGCTGACACTGGCCCCTCTGATCAAGCTATGTGACTTCAACAAATGTCTTACACTCTCTGAATCTGTTTTCATCATTTCTAAAACGGATGGAACATCACTGATCATGTAGCATCCTCGTGAGGATTAAATGAGATGAAGAGCTTGGGACATAGTTATAAGAGGTTAAGTGTCAGATACAATAGCAACTATTGTCCGTGTACCTGACTAACTTAGGTAGCTTGTACGATCTGGGGACATCCTCATGCATATCTCTGTTTTTTCAAATCAAGTGAACCCATCTTGACTCCACATTTATTACTGAGCTTGCTCTCTTGGGCCAGATTGGGGTTACATGGGACCCCATTTCACTATAAAACAGGGAAATCCAGACCGAACTGCTCTCCTGTGGTTACGTTTGCCTGCGCTGCTGAGCCTCAGCCCATCAAGGAGGCTGTTTTGCTCCTGACAAGGACACACAGAGATGGCCGAGGACACCAGCGCTGGCACCAGAGAGCGTCAGCCCCACTCTCTCACTCTGGGCCGGTCCCATGCAATCTCCGCTCTTTACAAAGGGAAGATTGGCCTGTCTTTCCCATGGCGGGGGAAGGTGATGCTGAAGCCTGTCGTCTTCCCCAGCCGGCTCTGTGCCCATGGTGGTTATGCGGGAGCCCCACGCGGAACCCCTTGGTAACGCAGAGCTGGCTGTGTCCTTGTGCTTATCCAAACAGGGTCAAATTTTGCAAACTCCTCCTGTGTACGACTGACTGTACTCAGGAGACGGCATCTGTAGGGGCCCCCTATGGCCTGACCCTTGCCAATCATCCCTGGATGATGGGTAGTTTAAAATGGACCTGCAGTGAGAGTCACAGAAGGATCATTCCGTTGGTCTTAGGTTTATGGTGACACTCGGTTTTGAAAGTGGAATCCTTAGTGCGAAGTGTTACAAACCCATAAACAAAGTGGAAATAGATACGAACACAAAGCAATAGCAGTAGGGGTGTGAGGAGGAAGAAGGTAGGAGTTGGGAAAACTTTTCCAAATACCGTGTCAGTACGACCTGGTGAAGGCAGAGCTTTCCAGGGTGGAACAGACCTCGGAGCAGCTGTGTCCCCACGACGTGTGACTGCTGCCATCTTGGCAGGGGATCGAGGCTCTGGCGCCAGCCCTCCGCTGTGCCCGAGGCAGCCTTCCATGGGCTGCGGCCTCACAGAAGCAGAGTGTTAGGTCTGCTTATGCGTCAAGCAGCAGTGCCGGAGCCCGGGACTCGGGGTGACGGGGCTGTTCTGCTCTTCACTGACCTGCTCTTTTGAAAACAAGGTACATTAAAACACAAACACACACATAGTATTAGCTCCGGAAGGGATTTTGGTTGTCATATGGTCCACCACTCTCCTTCAACAGTTGTATATGCCAGGAAATGATGATGTTATCTCATGTACTTTTAGTTTTTATCTTTATTTTTTTTAATATGGTTTTATTGATTTTTTTAGAGAGAGAGGAAGGGAGGGAGAGTTAGAACCATTGATGTAAGAGAGAAACATCTGTTGGCTGTCTCATGCACGTCCCCGACCTGGGATCGAGCCTCCAACCCGGGCAGGTGCCCTGACCCGGAGTCAAACCGGGACCTCTCAGTCTGTGGGACAACGCTCAGTCCACTGAGCCACACCGGCTGGGCTACTCTTTTTTTTTTTAAATACATTTATAATTTATTTTAATTTTCATTGGCTTTAGTGAGAGAGAAGAAGGGAGAGAGAGCACGAGAGAAAACAACATCAATTTGTTGCTCCACTTATATGTGCATTCTTTGGTTGGTTCCTAAATGTGAGCGACTGGGTATCGAACCCACAACATTGGTGTATTAGGATGACACTCTAAGCAACTGAACTACCTGGCTAGGGCTGACATAACATGTATTTTCTGAAGTACTTCTGGATCAATGCGTAGGCACATTGCACAGAATGTAGGAGTCACGTGCCACCTGTTTTAGGTATCGTAGTGCATTTTACATTTTGAATGTCAGACCAATGTAACGTCCATTCTAAATAGAGTGCTTGGATCTTAGACGTGCGTGTGGCCTCTGGACACTCACTGACCGGTCTTAGCTGGCATACAAACATTTGTTTTTTATTACTTTATGTGGCATTTTTACCTGAATCCAAGAATGGCGTCTGTGCTCCTAAAATTATAGGTAAAACTTTATATGTAATACACTTTTTTTTCTATAAAGAAGATAAAAGGGGTCTATTTTCACAGGGTCCATGACAAAGTTTAAAATCACACCTTACAGGATAAGTTAATAAACACTAGTAACTTGGTATGACCTTTGCAAAGCCGGCTGCATTTAGCCATGTTATTATTCATCTTTTCATCACCAGACAGCAATGTGATTATATTTAGTGTTTGTAGCAAAAATTAATATTTTTTATAGTTGAAATTAATTTTCTTTTTGTTGAGCAGATGGGAACAGCACTGTGACACAGCCTTCAGGTGGTCAACACAATGAAACTGTAAGCAAACTCCTTCCTATTTTATTAGGAATTCTGCCTGGAAGAAAATTATATTTAGAGATTACTTCTGTAAGGTGATCCCGCAGATTGATTCTCTCTATTTAAGAGACACAGAAGAGCCCTGGCCAGTTTGGCTCAGCGGTTAGAGCGTTGGCCTGCGGTCCGGAGAGACCCGGGTTCGGTTCCCGCTAAGGGCACGTACTTCGGTTGCAGTTTGTCCCAGGCCCTGGTTGGTCATGCGGGTGGCAGCCACTCGATGTGTCCCTTCACGTCGATGTTTCTCTCTCTCTCCCTTCCTCTCTCTCCCTCCCACTCTATCTGTACAAAAAATGGAAAAGTATCCTCGGATGAGGATAAAAAAAAAAAAAAAAAAAAAAGAGACACAGAAGAAAAAATCTGTTTGTTAAATAAGAATGCTTCAATTGATTGGTAAAGTTCATATAGATATAGGTAGAGCAGTTTGTAAGAGATGCCTGATAAGCGATATTGTACTCACATCCACACAACACACACACAACAGACTTTCTCCTGGCCAAAAAATTGGACCAAAAAGAATGAACTGATTTAAGGAGAGTGAGTTAACATCACATACTCAGGAAGATTTCAGTTATCATTAAAGGAGTAGCTATCAGTAGGACCTTTTTCTTTTGGCTGATAGAAACCACTTCCTTTTTATGTGTTTAAATAACTCGTAGAAGCAACTATCAAAAGAGTTTGAGGTATGAGAACAGTCCTGGCCCAAGGGGTGAGACATGGCAACCTGGCTGTCGTAATAGAAATTCAGGGAAAGTGGAATGATTGAGTGTAGGTTTAAAGACTTTATGTTGTATATCTTAGTGACAACAAGAACACCACATCGGAGTTATACAAGAAGTTTTAACAACTCACATGCGTAGACACTGATTGATCTGATGGATGTGGGCTGAATTTGTATGTACCTCCTAAATATCAGATCTGTTACTAGGGAAATGGTAATCATATTGCTCTATGGCCAGACATATGCTGAATTAAAAAAGCAAACACATTCCGGTGAGGTGGTGTGGCCTCAGCTACCTGTAGGACAGGTAGGTTTAACATGAATGGAAGCAATTTAGCTGCAAGGTCGTGATTGGCAGTAGCAAAATCATGGGCTTTTTGTGCCTTGATCCCGAGGGTGTCAAGATGTCTCCCTGGTATCTTGAAAAAACCCAGCATACATTTTGACCCAGTAGGTCAACTTTTTGGACACTGTGTTAAGGAGAGACTTGAACAAATGCATGGAGTTTTATAAAAAAATGTGTTCATTGCTGCTATTTATACTCATGAAAATGTTATAAACAACCTCAGTGCTCAATAGTAAGAGATTAATTAGCTCGTCAATTAAGCACACCCACATAGTGCCATCGATAATGTCTAATGAGCTGACTGACTGAATGATCCCCCAGAAAGTAAGCCCTTGGGCTCCTTCTCTGGAGTCTGGCCGGCAGCTCTGAGAACGGTCAGCGGCCCCGACCTGCCCTGACTTTGTGTCTTTCAGAGCCTGCGGAGTCTGCACACAGCTTCATTAACAAAGGCTGAAAACACTGCGATTCAGTGTTATGTTTGGGGAGATATTTTGCTTAGGCCTTTTGAACAGTAGTGTCCGAGTGAAGTGCTAGATATTATTTTTGTAAGAATGAGCTTTTTCCTTTTTTAAAACAATAATACCTTTCAGAAAAAACTTTAATTGATTTTTAGACAGAGAGAGAGAGAGGAGACTGACCTGTCATTCAACGTATTTCTGCCTTCATTGGCTGCTGCTTTATGTGCCCTGACTGGGGATGGAACCCGAAACCTTGGTATATCGGGGTGATGCTTTAACCAACTGAACTACCCAGCCAGGGCCACAGACCCTGTTTAATTTTACAGGTTCAGAGAAGCTAAATAACTTGTTGAGGGTCCCATGGAGTGAGTGACCAGGTGAAAGAGCCAGGGTTCTGACTCCAGAGATTAAGCATTTATGCAGCCAGAGGCTTGGTCCCTCTCTCTGATATTCCACTTGCCTTCTATTAAAATATCTACCCTGTGGGATCTTTTTAGTATTAGAGCTAAGCTATGTAAAGGGGCCTGGCATATTTTAGGCTTATTCTACAAGGGCGATCCTTATGAACCGCACCAAGAGATTTAAACAAAATTCTGCATTTCTGTCCAATTGCACAGCATCAGGGCCATGTCTGGGGGCAGCTGCTTTCAGACCCATTTATAAGACATAAATAGAATTTTGAGTTATAATTAAAAAACATAAGGTCTGTATCAATGACCAGATGCAATAATTGAGCACATTCAAATGACATAGATACCATCACCAAATCAATTTATATATGAACAAAAATTGATTTCTCTTTTTTGATATAAGAAGATATAGCTTATTGGTTTTTTAAAATAATATGGATATTATGGGAACCGGTTTGGCTCAGTGGTTAGAGCATCGGCCTGTGGTCCAGAGAGACCCGGGTTTGGTTCCTGCTAAGGGCATGTACCTTGGTTGCGGTTTGTCCCCTGCCCTGGTTGGATCGTGCGGGTGGCAACCACTTGGCGGGTGGCAACCACTTGATGTGTCCCTTTCGCATCGATGTTTCTCTCTCTCTCTCTCTCTCTCTCTCTCTCCCTCCCACTCTATCTGAACAAAAAATGGAAAAATGTCCTCGGGTGAGGATAAAAAAATAATAATATGGATAATTTACATATAATAAAGAGCACCCTTTGAAGTGTACAGTTTGATCTTTGACCAATGTACACACCCACGTAAATCCCACTCCAAGAGTGATATAAAGTATTTCCACATCCCCAGATACATATTGAATTTCAAGTTCTCTTACAATTTCCCCGTGGTTACAACCTCAGATCGTCTGGACTTACCCCTCATACTCTAGAAGTGGACAAGGGCCAATGAAGGTAAATGTGTCTGAGTACATTCTTTTAGGAAATGTTTTTTTTTTATCCTCACCCGAGGACATTTTTTGTTCAGATAGAGTGGGAGGGAGAGAAAGAGAGAAACATCGACGTGAATGGGATACATCAAGTGGCTGCCACCCGCACAACCCAACCAGGGCCGGGGACAAACTGCAACCGAGGTACGTGCCCTTAGTGGGAACCGAACCCAGGTCTCTCTGGACCACAGGCTGGTGCTCAAACTGCTGAGCAAACCGACCAGGGCTAGGAAATGTTTTCTACCCATCATTCTAACAAGATGCTTTTTCAATCTGCTGTTTTCTTAGCACGGATCCTGGTTGGAACAGGATCCATGGAGGGGCTCCAAGCAGTCGTTGTACATTGGACTCACCATTGCTGCCCTGACGCTGGTGACGATTTTGGCTGCCATAGTTACCAAAAGTAAGTCATTTCAGTACTGTGTCGAGGGAACAGAGGGAGGGTTTAGAGTCAAACTGTCTGGGTCCACGGAGATTCACACGCTACATCATCACACACAACTTCCTGTTTCATAACCTTGGTCCTTTTGTTCCTTAAAAATATTGGCCCAGAAAGAGAAAAATGAAATTTAAATTTATCATAGCAGAAAGTAAATGCTAAGAATAAGAGTTTGCTGAGGAGAGTTGGGATTTGAAGTGCACAAACCACTGACCTAAGTAAGATTGGTTCACTCTTCTCCTCCCCTCCCCTCAAGACCCCTTTGGTTCCATGAAGGATGATGTTGAGGGTCTTACAGCACTCACCCAGCTGAAGGGGCGAAGGAGACATTGGAAGGGAAACAGATGTCAGGGCTAAGGCTGGAATAACGGGTTTCTACAACTAGTCACCTACCTGCTGTGTGTGCATGCGTGTGTGTGTGTGTGTGTAACCAGCCTCCATGACAGAAATACAATCATTCATTTAAAAAAAATTTTTTTTTTCTTTATTGATTAGAGAGAGAGAGGAAGGGACAGGGAGAGAGAGATAGAAACATCGATGAGAGAGAACATTGATTGGCTGCCTCCTGTATGCCCCCCACAACCTGGGCATGTGTCCTGACCGGGAATTGAACTGGTGACCTCTTGGTGCATGGGTCGACACTCAACCACTGAGCCACGCCGGCCAGGCCATTTTTTAAAGATGAAATATAATTATTAATAGTTTGGGGGCATGTGTGTGAGTACACTAAACCATCAATGAACATGAGCTAGATTGCACGAAGGGGCTTCTCTGGGTCCCGCATGGTAAAAAGGAGTTATCTGACGGTACCAGGGAAGAGCCTGGTCTGAGTTTTCTTTGTTTTCCCTTTTTTAAAACACTTTTCTAAATTCAATTTTTCAGCCTGTCTCTGTACAGATTTTGTTTATAGTAAAGAATAACAACCCTGGCCAGGTGGCTCGATTGTTTGAGTGCTGTCCCATATACCAAAAGTATTCGGGTGCAATTTCAAGTCAGTGCACATGCCTAGGTTGTGGGCTTGGTCCCCAGTTGGTGTGACAGAGCACATGGGAGGGCAACAGATCACTGATTCTCCATCACAGACGAGTTTCTCTCTTTGTCTCTTTCTCTCCTTTCTTCTCTCTAAACATCAAGTGAAACAATCCAAAACAAACACACAGAGAACCCCCATATTCTTCAATGAGAATTAAAAATAAAAGTAATAGCAAAAATAATATACATATTTGGGAAAAGATCTCATGAACTCTTTGGCTGACATGTTTAATTTTCTCTTCAACTCCTCCCCGATTTAGAATATTTATACGTGAAAAGAAAGGTGTTGCAAATAAGGTGAGTTTGAAAGGTTTGTATCAAGGCCTTTTGATGTTTCTGCTCAAGTGAAAATGGAGAAAATGTTTCTCTATTCCTTTCCTCTTCCTCCTGAACTCTCCATTTTACACCCTGGATCCTGAAAAACCTAGTTCAATGAGTGTGTCCATCGCTGTCCGCACCTCCCAGTGGTATCTTTAGCTTTCTATATTTCCCTGGAGTTGAGCCAGGAACTATGGCAGAAACAGCACCCAATCCTTGCCTCTCAAGGTAAGAGAACTAAATCATGATTGAGTGAGTTGTTTGTTTTGTTCTCGATTTCATTCAGTGCCTTGCTTACTGAAAGCCTATTATATTCCAAAGAGATGAAGGACACAGACAAAACCTACAAGCAAATAATCAGGGTCCTGTTGGTGCTTCCAGGCAAATACCGTGGGGATGTCAGCAGGGTGAGGGGCTGGGTGGTGAGCCCAGACAGAGCAGGCTGCTGGCAAAGGTCTGGAGGGAGACACCTCCAGGCTGACGCAGTGCAAAAGCACTGTGGTGGGGCCAGTGCCTCCACTTGTCCCCAGCCCCCCCTTCCCCCGTCGTTCCACCCCTGTCCGCTCTGCTCCTTCATTTGGTTACCTGTCCTCGTCTGCATTTGGCTTATAATTTTTTATAATCCACCCTATTGTCCATATCAAAGCTGAGATCCCCTTACCTTCAGCCACCCCTGTGGTCATCAAAGCAAACACTGTCATGGTACAAAACCACTACTTCCTACCAGTTCCAAGCAGCTTGCTTCATTTAGTCCCATTTGGGCTCTAAGCAAGGTCTTCCTTTGATTCAGAAGCCATCCCTCTTGGGCTGCCATTCATTATTCCTGGTTCTCTTTCGGTGGATGGCAATCTTTCCTGTGTCTTAATTACATGAGCCAACCCACAGACTTTGCCTTGAACAATACCCAGCACACTGTACGTTCTCCACAGACGGCTTCTGTTACTGCGCTCATTCTTCATAGCAATACACCTGTGAGCCAGGCGCTGTTATCTTCACCTTATAGACTGGAAAACGGGTTTAGGAACATTAGGTGACATCCAAGTTCACACCATGTGGCAGATAGAAGACTCAATCTTTGGTCTTTCAGAGTCCAAAACCCATACTTATAGACGACCTGACTTCCTACTTCCGGGGGTAGAAGGAGAAAACCTCCTCTTCCGGGCAGAAAATCCTGGAATACAGCATCCTCTCGTTGATTTCTGCCCTTCACTTCTGACATTATGGATGTTCACTTCTTATTGCTTAATTATAAAAAAAAATACTTTTTTGTAGAAAATGTTGTTAAATATAAAAAGCAAAGAGAGAGAGAGGGAGAGAGGGAGCGCATTCATGATGACACTCTTTGGGTAGCTATCACAGGGACTCATGTTGAGCCACTGACACCTCACCTCTTTCTCACATGTATGACTGGTTCATGGGGAGACCTGAGCTGAGTGAAGACTCAGTGCATTTGGTATCCTTTCTGGGCAGGCTCAGGGAATAAAAACAATCACTATGTACAAATTATAAAACATCAGTTATATCAAAACTCTGCACTTAACCTTTTATATACTTGGTGTATTGTAAAAGTTGTGTAACTTGTGGCTTTCAAATTCTGACCATAGAGTCACAGTAAGATTTTGACACCATGATCCAGTACATACTTATGTGAAACACTATTTTACTACATCCAATACTTTCTGTTCTTTTGTAGTCTCTGTTTATCTTAAATACAGGATGCAGGTCACTGTATAGATTTAATAACCCTCTCTGAAGGGCACCATCCACAGTTGGAAAAACACCAGCCAAACCATTTCCTAGCCACCTTTGAGAATATGTGTCTTGATTTAGTTGTTCGTTTGATGTCTGATAACTGTCTTAGATTTCCCACTTTTGTATTCTATTCCATGAGTCTCTTGAAGGAGAATAGTCTGAATACTTTAGGTTTTGTTTTTGTTTGTGAATCCTGCTTATTAAAATTTTTTTGCACAACTTAATATTCAGAACTCTGGAAGCTTCTAGTCATTTGATAGGTTGTGTGAATGGGGCTCTGGTGCCGCAAATAAACAAATATGCTGAGAGCTGCTCGTTTTCTAGAAGTGATCTGCTTCTCGCTCCTCGTGTTATTCTTTTTGCAGCAAAGAGCCTCTGGCTGAAACTTCACCAAATGTGTCTGCAGTGCGCTACCAGGCGGATGAGACTATCTCCTTTGAGAACGATCTTTACAACGGGAAGTGAGACCCTGCGGCCCTCCAAGGCTTCGTGCCCTTGACTGGGGAAGACAATGACCACCCCCTCCTTTGTCTGGCTGACACAGCCCTTGAGCCAAGGCTTGTCAAATGGTGACTGTCCAAACTATAAGCATAAACAGTGAGCCCTTAGGGACCCTATAACTTAGTCCTTTGTACTGGACATGTGCAGGTTGATGACAATTTGTAAACTGAGCTCTTTGAGGGAAGTGTCTGCAGTTTCTCAGCACCCAGCTCACACATAGTAGGTGCTCTATACGAACCTATAAAAATCGGCGAATAGCCCGGCCGGTGTGACTCAAGGGACTGGGCGTCGTCCCAGGGACTGAGAGGTCCCGGTTTGATTCCTGGTCAGGGCACATGTCGGGGTATCCATCCCCAGTGGGGAACGTGCAGGAGGCAGCTGATCAATGTTTGTGTCTCATATCGATGTTTCCATCTCTCTTTCCCTTCCTCTCTCTAAAAAAAAATCAATAAAAACATATTTTAAAAATCCATGAATAAACTGAAAGAATGTTCCCTAGAACCTTCCTGTGTGTGCTGGGGGAGAGATGAGTGTCTTTAACACTCGTTATGAGATGGAAACAACCTTCCTCCTGTGGCCGGCTGGAGCCCGTGTGCACCTCGAGGACTCTGAGCCCGTGCTGAGCCGCTTGGCTACATTAGGACCAGCTGGGAAGCTGGCCAACCACGCATGCCCAGACCAAGGGACGCAGAATCTCAGCAGGTGGGCCAGATAGGGGTTGTTTTTTAATCTCCCCAGGTGATTGCAATGTAGCCAAGGCTGAGAACCACTGACTTAGAGAGACTTGTCCGGGAAAGTGAGAGCAGGTTTTCTTGTTCTGTGAGACAAGAGGTCTGGAAAAGCATAAACGATACAAACTAACACAGAAAGATATAAATAGCAGCGGGGACAGGTGAACAACCCAATGTGGAAATAGCACGGCCCTGGGTGACAGCAGATCTCTCCTGCGTCTGGCTTCCACGGCAGCAGCATTGTATTGGTGGCAGCCCCGGGAACCAGAAGTTGGACCCTGCCGCACTTTGGCAGGCTTCTCGGGAAGCCAGCCCACAGCTGTCCAGCTGCCTGTCCTTGGCCTCCTGTCCCTGGGCCTCCGAAGAACTAGACGGCTTCCTCCACAAGCTGTAAAAGTTAGCAGAGAAGAAAGTCCCTTTGGCATGTGAGGGTTTGCTCTGAGGTAACCTCTGTCTCACACGTGGCCTGCTGAGAAGGGGGGTGCTGTCTGCAAACGCTGACCCTGCTGAGCTTAATAATACTTGCATGATGACCGACTCACACATTTCCAATAGACTTTATTTTTTAGAGCTATTTAAGGCTCACAGACAAAACTGAGTAGAAACTACATATAACTACCCTCCTCTCCTCAAAGCCTGCAGCATTCTCACCATTAACATCTTTCCCAAGTGAGGTACATTTGGTACGATTGATGAACCATCACTGACACAATATTATCAACTAAAATCCATAGTTTGCATTAGGGCTTAGCTTTGCATTGTGCGTTTTATGGGTTTTGACTAACATGTGATGACATGTACTCACCGTTATAACGTCATACAGAATAGTTTCGCTGCCCTAAATCTCCTCTGTGCTCCACCTGTTCATCTCTCTCTTCCCCCAAATCTGTGACAATCACTAATCTTTTTATTGTCTCTATAGTTTTACCTTTTCAGGTATGTCATATAGTTGAACTCATACAGTATGTAGCCTTTTCAGATTGATTTCTTTCACTTAGCAGTATGAGTTTATTTTTCCTCTCTTTTCATGGTTTTATAACACATTTCTTTTTTTTGTGGAATATTTTATTGTTTGGATGCACCATAGTGTGCTTATTCATTGACGTATTAAAGGATATTGGGCTGCTTCCAAGTTTTGGCAGTTATGAATAAAGCTGCTATAACCATTCATGGGCAGGTTAAGAAGCATGACTGATAAATTATATAGTAAGAGAGTGTTTAGTTTTGTAAGAAACTACTAAACTGTCTTCCAAAGTGGCTGTAAAATTTTGTATTCTCATCAGCAATGAATTTGTTCCTGTTGTGAACCAGGATTTTTTCCCCCTGACTTTTTTTGATTTTCTTCATAAGTAATCATGCCATATGTAAAAAAAGAGAGTTTTTAAATCTTCCTTCCCCATTTGTACATCTTTTATTTCCTTTTCTTGTCTTATTACATTATCAAGGGTTTCCAGTGTTGTTGAAAGGAGTGGTGAGAGGGGGTATCCTTTCCTCCACATCTTTATTCGTTCATTCATCCATGAACACTGAGGTAGTTTACATGTCTTGGCTGTTGTAAATAATGCTGCTATGAACATGGGGCTGCAACTATTTCTTTGGCATGTTTTTATTTCCTTCGAAAATGTACCTGGAAATTGAATTGCTGGATCATATGGTAATTCTGTTTCTAATTTTTCATTAAACCTCCACAGTGTTTCCACATCCTTGCCAGTATTTGTTGCTTTTAAGATGAAGAGTCAGCTAAAATGTAACTGTAAATCTTCATGACCTTGCATTAGACAATGGTTCTTAGCTATGATGAGCAACCAAAAGAAAAAAGATGTTAAGATGTTGTTCTTCATCAAAATTAAAGGTTTTGTGATCAAAGCACACAATAAAGAAAGTGAAAAGATACCCCTCACGATGGTAAAAAATATTTGCAAATTATATTTTGAATAAGAGTCTTGCATCCAGAGTATATAAAGAAATCTTACTATTCAATAACAAAAGATAAATAACCAATTAGTGTCCATCAGTAGACAAATGGATAAAAAAACTGTGGTACATATACACAATGGAGTACTATGCAGCTGTAAGAAAGAAAGATCTCTTACCTTTGAGACTACATGGAGGGACCTGGAAAGTATTATCCTAAGTGAAATAAGCCAAGCAGAAAAAGACAAATACCACATGATCTCACTTATATACTGAATATAATGAACATAACAGTCTGAGGAATACGGTAGACCCAGAAACATGGAAGTAGGGCACAGACTGACATCCCTCAGAAGAGGGGGTAGGGGGGGTGGGAAGAGATAAACCACAGAACTTATATGCATGTATGCATGACCAATGGACATGGACAACAAAGCGGGGACGAGTGGGGGGGATGGGGAGGGGGATGCCAACGGGGTAAAAATGGAGAAACATCTGTAACAAAAAAAAAAAAGGCATGGGAATTAAACAAAAAATCACACAGAAAAAAATTAGCCAAGGAATTTAATGAACACTTTCTCCAAGAAGACACACAAATGGCCAGTAAGCACATGAAAGCTGTTTAACATTTTTAGTCACTAAGGAAACAGAAACCGAAAGTACAGTGAGCTACCATTCACACCCACTAAGATAGCTGTAATATAATTTTTGATATCCCATAAAATAACAAGGGTTGATGAGGATGTACAGAAATTGGAACTCGTGTACTGCAGTTGTGAGTGTAAAATGATAGCCACCTTGGTAACAGTCTGGCTGTTCCTCAAGTAGTTATAGAATTGCCATATAATCCAGCAGTTCTCTCCCTAGGAATATACCCAAGAGAACTGAAAATATGTTCATACAAAAATTTGTACAGAAATGTTCATAGCAGAACTACTTGTAATAGCAAAAGAGTGGTAACAACAACTGTTCATAATGGATGAATAAATAATTAAAATGTGAGATACCCCTATAATGAAATGTTACTCAGCATTAAAATGGAATGAAGTACTAATGCTACAACATAGATGAACCTCAAAAACGTTAGACTAAGTGAAAGAAGCCAGACAGAAAAGGTCATGTAGTATATAATTTTATTCTATGAAATCACCAGGTAGATACATAAAGAAAAAAGAGCTTTGTTTAGTGGCTGCAGAGACTGGGGAGAGGAGAGGCAGGGAGTGACGGCTAAGGGTATGGGGCTTCTTTTGGAGTAATAAAAACATTGAAAATTAGATAGTGGTGACGGTTGTACAACTTTATGAATATACTAAAAACAAACAAACAAACAAACAAACAAAAACACTCAAACTGGTTAATTTTATATTATGCATATTGCACCTTAATTAAAGAAATTAAGAGTATGAAAAAAACTTGATTGATAGATGAGGGACATGGTGGGAGGGAGGTTTTTTGTTTGTTTGTTTGTTTTGTGTGTGGGATCCAATTAAGAAAATAAAAGCTTGGATTGAGGGCATCTGGGTTTGAACACGGAGCATGACTGAGAACGGTGTAAGATATCTTGATATAGGCACGTTCCATTCTCATCTAAACTGTTACCTTCTGCTTCTGTTGGAACCTCCCTCTCTGCCTGGGAGCCTGACAGACAAGAACCCCTATCTTAAAGGCTCCCCTTTCTCTCTTCTTTACGTCTCAAACCTTTTTATTTCACGTGTCCATTTCCCTGCCTCCCATTCACTCCTTAAACGGTTGCAGTCTGGCTTCTGGCCCCACTCGTCCAGTGATGCTGTCAGGTGGACGTTCCATGTCAGTGCAGTGGCTGTTTCTCGATCCTTTTCGTACTTGAACTTTTTGTAGCATTTGACCCCACTGACCAAACCATCCTTCTTACAACTCTCTCTTCCCTTTGCTCTTAGGGAGTGGTACCATTGGTCCTGGCTTTCTTCCTGTCCCTCTGCATATGTGGCTGCATCCTCTCTCTCTAAGCCCTCGTGTCCCCAGGAGCCAGTGCGTCTTCCTTGACGCCTTCTCGCTATTTACTGGCGACCCCAGTCTCTCTCACAGTCACGTCTCTGTCCTGAGCTACAGCCTCAGATGTGAACTGTAGGTTTGTGTCTTTGCCTCATGGAAAGTTTTCAGCTATAGTTTTTCCCATTATTTCTGTTCCACTCTTCCTCTCTTCTCCTGTCCGAACCGTGACATGGATGTCAGCTCTTTTGTCGTCGTGGTTCAGGTCACTGAGACGTGGTTCATTTTTTCTCTTTGGTCTATTTTCTGTCTGTTACTCAGATGGGTAAATTCTACTAAACTGTCCTCAAG